AAATTAACTTCCAGTAGGATTGTGCAAGCTGCTGAACTGCAAACACATTCTGAGTCAAAAGTCATGCCAAAAGCCTGCTGGACGTGTAAGCCCCAACAGAAATTGATGTGTTGAATTGCCTTTCCAGAGCCCCTCTGGAGTTCATCTACCTTACTAGACACTGCAACTCCCTAAACAGCACATCTCCCTGTTTCTCTTTAGCAGTAATGATGGAAAAGTTTGTTTTGCCCAGATAGGTTTGGTCACCATTGCTATCCCACATGGAGGAAGCTCCCAGTGACAGACTGCAAAAAGGGGTGCAAATGGATGATGGATGTACACCCTGTGAAGGTGTAGAACAGGGGGTTCCCAGCACAATTTTCCACACAGACAGCTCTAAGCTTTCTGATGCCTGTTTCCCAAACCCCACCCTCTGATCCCTTTCTATGTGAGCAAGTCATTCCCCGCAGCCGGTCAAAACCAAGCAGGAGCAGCAGCTGGCCAAGTGCAAACAGCTCTGCCGTAATTGTAAAAGGCTTTCTAAGCTCAAAACCTGTGAAAATCTGCAGGTTCACCAGAAAGTGTGCATCCTGAGGGGCAAGCAATGCACAGAGCAACACCTTCTGCCTCTGACATTGCCTCTGCATCAGGACACTGGAAGAACCTGACAAGTGACAGAGGAAGGGGATCCTGACTGACCTTTGGTACAGCCTTTGCTTTCAGGAGACAGAAGCACAAAATTCAAATGAAAACATAGCTTTAAAAGAAAAATAAAAAGTGACAAAGAAATGATGTATGATTCACTCAAGAAACAACACATGATTCATTAAAACCTCAAGCAAAAACAGAAAGCTGATTTTAAAAGAAATCATTCTGACCTAAAATAGCCAGAACATTTGTGTTAAGAGAGTCTGACCGCCTCACCTGCTTCACACTGTGCTGGCTGAATTAGATAACATCAGTTGCTCACAGCATTGTCCCTGGCTTTCAGGATGTCACATGGAACAGAACAGAGCCTCTCTGGAGGGTATTTCACTGCCTTAAAGGCACTTTCTTTCTTCACGTTTCCTTGGCTCATTCCTAGCACAACTTCCAGGAGAAAATGTGCCAGAGACCCTACATGGCCAGACGTCCTCTCCTCAGCTCCTCCAGATTCATTTAACACAACTCTTTTTGCTCACAGCACAAAACAGCAGTATGCACCCATGTACCTTAAAAGCTGAGTAGGGAAATCTTTGCTTTACTGAAGCATGGAAGAATTTCAGCTTTGCTTTCAGGGGGCCCAAAATTTCAGTTTGATTTTTCCTGCACTGCCACAGACCACGGTGATCTAGTAGTTAGCTGGAGATGGTGCATTAGGTGGTGTAAATGGAAGCAACATGGAGAAAAAGAAAAAGCTTTAAATATATCTCAGCTGAAAACTTGTTTTCTGTGGAAACACAATTGGTGGCTTATTGCAGGCCTTCCTTCCCAAATTTTGACTATCAATAAAATGTGTTCATCTGTATGCGTATGGGTCTCTTAAAAGTCTATCTTGGCTCCTTTCCCTTGGCCAAACTTCATGGCTCAAGCTTGCAGAGCCCTCACTCCAGCTGCATGAAATCTTGAAAGGCACTTAATGAATTAGACATTATTAATATTCTCTTCCAACATCAGAAGGCAATACTTAACTCTTTGAAGACTCATCCCAAATGCTGCTTTCTAACTTTCGGTCCTCAGAGGCAGCTATGTAATCTCATTGCGATTTTATAGAGTATCTTTCCAGATTAATTATTTCCCCTGTTTGGAAAAAAAGAAGTTCAAAGTCCTGCCTCTGCCTTGCAGTGTACATTAGCAATGTTAGATGCCCCATAAAAATTTCAGAGCATGAAACAAGATATGCTGCAATGCTCTGCAATTACAGATTAAAAGTCACTTCGTCACCATGAGCAGGACAGAGGACTGCAGGTTGGAAAGCAAGCAGGCATGCTCACTTTATGAGCTCATAAATGCAGCGTGATGGCTGAGCTACCTAATGCACAGAAAAAGAAAACAAAAACCCAGAGTTGATAACAGCACACTGAGCAGATGCCTTAAGTAGGTCATTCAACATGCCAAGCCTCTAAATGCTATTTGGGAGTGAGAAAACATTATTTCCTCACTTCAGTGTGACTTTCTCTTCCCCGTCATGTGGAACTAACCTTTTGTGCTCAGCACTATTATTAATTTATTAGCCTTTTGAACGTTTAAATTGTTTCACAGTCTACAGACTACATCTGAGTGCCTGTTGAGGGACAATACAGCACAAATGCATGTGTGTAGGCACCCACACACATGCATACGTATTTGGAAAAGCAGACCTGATGAAAGAGCAATTCTCTCTATCTATGTATTTTTGACAGTGAGAACAAACAGCCATTTTGTTGAGCACAGAACTGCAACGAGTGTATTTTTGTTATGATTAAATGTCAAACGTTACAAGTGATGACTACGTAGAAAATGTGCTAAGTATATTTCTATTGAAATCAATTAAAGGATGCAATGATTTTCTTTCCATTTAGATTACATGACTCCAGCACAAATTGCTGCAGTACAGTGCAGCCCTGGCTGCCTGCTTTCACTTACTGAACAACTGCTTTTTGTCCGCCTGGTAAAACTGTTCTGGATGGCGTGGCTTCTCTCAAAGGCTGAACTCACAGTCAGACACTTCATGTCCAATAGGGAATTGGGTACACTTTCAGCAGATACGTTGTTTGAAACAATCCCCTGAATAATTTTACATAACAGGGCCTGGACTGTATCCCCACTGCTGAAAGCAGTATGATCTGTTTTGTACCTAGGAACAATACTCATAATTTTTGCAAAAGCAAGCTTTGGCTCAGCACATCTTAAATACCAGGAGAAAGACTTTTCCTGAAATAGCTCTTGAGTAGGAGACATTATAGGTGGAGTTCATCTGATGTACCCTTGGTATTTAAAAGTTAGCAACTGAGGACTGTCTCAAAAATCAACAGAAAGGGGATGATTTTCTCATCCCAGATAAGGCATTGAAGAGGGACATGCAACTGCACTCTAAAGGAAGCACTCCTCCTCATGAGCTATAAAAGTGACTGGTGAGTAGCTCAGATGTCACTGGCCAACTTTTCAGTGAAATTAATTCATGTACTACAATGATTTGATCTTCCTTTGACTCCAGTGCCAACTCATGCACCCAACTGACATTGCCTTTCCTTCTGCAAAATCCAACCTTTCTTTACAAGTGCTCTTCAGACACTTCTTGCTTTGAGTCACTGGCTCCATGGCACACTGCATGTACCTAATGCTCCCTGAGTGCTTTTCCTCCAGTGTGACTCCCTGTGCTAGGGCCCTGCAAGGAACCAAACTGCCCAAAAAAGGAATGTGACAGAAGAAAATAAATAGAAAAACAGTCAAGTGATTATTTCCCTTATGTATTCTAGGACTGCAGAATTGAACTCCAGCATGTTGGCCTGACAAGAAAAGATCTGTCTGTGTTTTCCCTGTGCACAACCTTATCATGGCTGATGGGGAGTCCCAGGAAGCTAGCTGAAGTGACAGGTTTCCCATTTTGAGAAGGAAAGAATAAATTCTGACACAGTGTACTCTTGTCCCATGAAATCACCATCAGGAAAGTCTGAAAGAAATTGTCATCTGGGACTGGAGCTGGTGGCACATGTCAAATAGGAAAGGGGGGATGCTGAAGTCATGACCTGGAGAACATTTTATCAATAAAAAAAGCAAAAAGCTAGAAGCCCCAAAGCAGCTCTCAAGCCAAAAGCTCTTCTTCAGGACCAAAGTGGAGTTAACAAGCTTCAAGTCAGAGGTAAGCTGAGAAACTGGAACCAAACTTCATTATAATTTAGCTCTTCCAGACTCCTGCAGAGATGGAGGGGAGCTATAATCCCCCATTGCATCTACTTTTTGCCATGGGTATTTTGTGCTGTAGCTGGTATATTAATGAGCACAGGAACACAGTAAAAATTAAATCTTCTTTGAAATAAGTATTTGTAAAATACTTTAGTGGCCAGGGAGAAACTATATCCAGGAAACTGAAATTCTAGTTCTGTTTAATTCCTGTTGCTGCAGAGGCTAATATTACCTTGTAAAATATGGAGATAGCCTTGATACCTTATCAGGTGAGATGTCCTAGCTGCAGAAAAATGTGTTTCAGCAGCTAGAGGTTTTCAGTTAATGCTCAATAATCTATAAATCATTGTTAGGAGATTCCTCTATGCAAATAAAATGTATATAACCCTCATCAATCTTAAAAAAAAACCAAACACAAAACAACAAAAAACCAAAACAAAACAAAAAAAACCATCATAAAGATTAAAATTTGCAGCTGCAATATGAATTAAAGAATCCCTTAACCTGTTCTCAAGATATGTCCTTATGGCTAATTAATTTTTAGATGGAGTGCTCTTTGAAAGAACTAATGGATAGTGAGCATTGCTGATTGATTAAAAAATGAGCAGGAGGATTTAAAAAGTGAGCTGTGAATGTAAAATTGCTACCAAGCTTTATTAACCTTGCCATATTAAAATTCTCAACTGTGCAAGGGAGTGAAGCAAGTATTAAAATAATACTTTTGCTAAGTACATTTTATTTATTTAACATCAATAAATCTCTCCTAGTTGGTGCCATGCAGATCCATCAGACTATTCTCTTCTGATCTAGCAGGTGAGAGACTGAGCCTCACCTCTGAGGAATCTAAAATACGGACTCTCTCACACTACTACATATAACTTTATACATTATGCAACAGAAAGAAAAAAAACAACAGCAAAGCAAAGAAAAAGAAAGTGTAGTTCATATGTCACACTGCCAGGATTGCTACTCGGAGCTGCAAATCTATGGCTCACTTTTATTGAGCCATCATTAACAAAGAGCTACAACATTTATTGAAAGGCCAGTTAATCTGCAATGACCTGAAAACATCAAGAGTAAACCGGAGGTTATTCAACACTGCAAACAGTGTGCAATCTCCTGCTGAAAGAAAGGGAAAACAAGATCAGCTGCCTTACCCGTTTCCTCAAATTACAGGTGAGTGTGAGGTTCCTTGAGAAGGAGTTTGCAAAAGCAGTATAAAAGTCCAACACTTTAAGCAAGGCTTCTCGCTTAATAATATGTAAATCGCAGTATGTCAGAGCGCGTACGTTGGCACATGCGTGGGCCAGACTGGTTTCCTTCCAGAAGATATCACCAAACACATCACCTTTACCTGAAAAACAGGACAAAATTTGTTAAAAGTCAATGCTTACGTGGTGCTCCCCAGCATGCAAACGATTTCTTTCCAAACTTTCTTATGCTTTGGAATAAGCTAACATCAGCTCCCAACTGTGAAAACTAATAAGGGTAAAAGATTTAAAAATATCTGAGGTATTTCAGCATCTTTAGCAACAGCCCCAGGTTTTTAAGATATTTATAGATAGCTCTGCAAAGTGTCACAGAGCATAAAAGCCAGACTGTGTGGCTGAAGATGCAGGTAATGGATTTCCCAAAAGCCCCTGAACATAATAAGTAGTTACCTAATGGTGAAGTGACTGAATATTTCTGAGGATCACTCCTAAGTGACAGAGGAACCCTGCTTTCACTGATAGCCTGTGTCATTCAGGATACTTTATCACCATGGCTCTACAATGCTGTTTGAGAGCCAGCTTCTTAAACGCTCATTAAACACTTTTACTTCATTGAGAAAGGTAACATTCCTTCTAAAAACCCACTAAAACCATCCCTGAGACTTCTAACCTCTAAATACCCGGCTCCAAATCTTAAGCAGATCCAACAGCCGGCTTCCAAATCCAAACATATCCACGTACACACAGGGTTCTGCTGAAGTCTGTATTTAAATATTTGCTGACTAAGAAAGGGTCTGACCCCTTAGACACATGCATATTTAAATAACCACAGCCAGATGTGAACCACCGCACGCATCAGTACAGGTTAGGGGCTGACCTGCTGGAAGGGAGCCCCGCAGAGAAGGAGCTGGGTGTTCTGGCTGGCCGTGAGCCAGCAGTGTGCCCTCATGCCAGGAAGGCCAAGGGTGTTTCTGGGGTGAAAGAAAAGGAGGTGGTCCTCCCCCTATTTGCTCTGCCCTGGTGGGGCCACACTGGGTGCACTGTGTCCAGTTCTGGACTCCCCAGTTCAAGAAAGGGAACTGCTGGGAAGAGTGCCATGGAGGACTGCAAAGAGAAGTGTGGTTGGTGGCTGGCAGCTCAGATTCTGAAGCAGAAACTGTGGTATTAAGGGCACTTATGAAGGAAGGTTGCTTCGGTTGCCAGTGGTATCCCAGCTCTTTATTTCTGTAGTTATTAAGAGGAAACTAGAAATCAACCAGTCAGTGGTAGTATCTCTATTGATTTCAGGTACCTCAAACAGCCCCTTGGTGAAGGTTTGTGATTTTTATAGTTTGAGGAAAGAAAAGGTAATACATTTTAATGCTTCTTACCCTAAGGACTTGCAACATTTCACTCAGCTCTATTTCAGGAACACAGAACAATACTTTATCCAACCTTACTGCTCTTTTTCTATTTTTATTTGAAAATAAAAATATTCTATTATTTTATAGAGACTATTCCTCTATTTGTATTTCTGCTTCAGGTATCATATCCAGTAACTAGACTAACATTTCTCATGCAGCCTGTGCAGCAGAATCATCTCTCAGAAACGTTGCAGCATTTTCATTGAACTGCTTTAAAATAATTCTACATTTTGAGATGCTGTTAAAATGAACTGCAATACATAATACTCCTGATGCAGTTGATAAAACAAGTTGCCTTAAAATGCTCTCCTTATCACAGAGCATTTCCTACAAATATATAATTTATCTAACGTTATGTTTCAAATTACCCTTTGCAGTTAATTGCCCTTCTCTCTACGCACAGTTTAAAACCTGTTTCGCAGACATACTCAGCACAGTTACATAATTTATAGAAAACAGACCATTTTGGAAGTGCACAAAATTGCTTAATGGATTTGCTCTCTGAGGTGGACACAGGACAGAATTGAGCCTTGGTTGCAGCAACTGCAGACTGCAGTTAAACAGAATTCAGTAATGGGGACTGGTACGATTTTCCTGCTGAAATGTTAGCAAAATGCTTCTTTTTTTTTCCTTCTTCTTCTTATACTTAAGGTAATATATAAATAATTCAAGCTGAAAGCAGTGGATGCTGACTCAGAAACTGTGCAACAGAACATTCCCAAGTCACAGACAGATAAAATCACCATTCATAAAACTGAGATCTCCTCATCTTTTGCAGTTCAGTGAGGCAGGAACGATACTGCGTTCCTCTGAATGAGGCTGAGAAGATAAACTGCATCTCTGCACTCCTTCATGGGTCAGCAGTCAGTGCACTTAAATGGGGAAGTGAAGTGACAACTTGAAAAGGTAAAGATGGTATTTGTCTTCTGCCAGCGCTCACTGTTTCTCTGGAGGTGACTATAAGAAACCCAAATGCTTCCTTTAAGAAAGTGTACTTCAGAAAGTACAGAATCTTGGAAGCAATTATGACTTTTTGAATTTGATTTTTTCCCCACACCCTTCCAAGTCTCATTTGCTCTTTGTGAACATGTAAGGAACAGTACTGCATGAAAACACCCAAGCAGATTCTCCAAAACAATGCACGCTTCCTCATAGATACAGAGATTAATGCACTGTACTTCATCCCTGTAACTGTAGCTCACTGAGTAGAGAGCAGTAATTATTCACTCAAGTTTTATTTTTCACAGTGTAACTAACGGGATTTTTCCTCTTTCTTAGAATTATAATTAAAAATATACCTGGTAGGTTTTAAACCACAGCTACTCACCTCCACTGCTGCAGGTTGCTACAAGCACAGCATGTCTTGTTCATCACTGGTCAAAATGCATAGCTAATGGTGGTGACTGTGTTGAAAAATAATTTATTGCTGCTGAGAATTTGCTCTATCAAATAGCTCTTGATTCACTGTGCTTTGTCAATATCTTCTAGTTTCCATGGAAATAAATAGAAGGCATTACTTGTGGAGCAACCTATGTATATGTCCATACATTAAATATACACATGAATCTCTACATATATAGAGAGAATTAAACAATATGTAACTATATAATTGATAATTATATTTCTATATGTTATCATTTTATATTATGGATAACTCTGCCACACAGAAGTGGGGGACTGATGTTCTCCACCACCTTGCTCCACGGACTGAGTTTCCAGCTTGTGAGACTGTAGCTCATGCCTAGACATCTCAGGTAAGGCTATATGAAACTCCCCAGGAGCTGGAAAAGGGAATGAAAAAGTCCTTGAAATCAGAGACAGGAAAGACTCTCTCTAACTCTCAGAACTCCTGTGCACCTATGAAATGGCAAAATTTATTTTCTTCAGACAGAAATCAAGCTAAAAAATATATCAGTAGAAATGATAACTTGATTGAGCTTTTGGGAGAAAGCCTGGATGGACAGTGAGAATAAATTCCTGATGGAAAACTGCACTGAGAGGAAAAACAAATAAAAGGGGCAAAGGTTTCTCCTTAAGGTGATAGCTCTTGTGAACAGGAGCAAATTTGGAAAATATATGTGGTGCACTCCTAGCTAATAGAGGCCAGCCATACTATTCCCTCTTTTAAAACATTTCCCAAGACACATCAGTCACACTAGCAAAAGCCAGACATGATGAATAATGTAGGCTTTCCATCAGGATATGCTTAAATCTTCTGTTACTTATGAGCAGCAGAGGCAATACAGACCAATTTTGTTGCAGAATCAGTAAAACTGCATTATACATAGAAAACATTCAGCTAATTTGCTCAGGTACCAATAGCCATGGAATGACAGCAGGTGCACAGAAACGGAGGTCAGGAAACAAATATCAAGTCCCTGCAGCCATAATTGCAATGCTACTGGTACATATATTCATGCACATACAGCTGTCTGTGACTATACATCTGCAGTGAAACCTCTGACTGCCAGACAGACATATCTCAAGCTGATGAAAACAGCTGATGATGAAGGAAAGAATTTGCAGTTACTTGCAGCAGCCCACAGCTCTGCAATCATTGGGTGAGCAGGTAAGCAGCTCCTTGCCATGAGACGCTGGTAGATCCAACTATGAGGAAACAGGATAAGGACTGGTGCAAGCTCACCAGCTGTCTCCTGCCAGCTAGGATGTCATTACTTCTTGTGAGCACAGTCCATAATATGCAGGGGTGACTACCAGACTGTGAGACAGGGCTCTGTGCCTTTGAGGAGGTTCTGACCAAAATTTCAGCCTTTCCTAAGGTACCCTGAGGAGCCAGGGTTTATTGAAAACCAGTTCACACCAGTCAGACATCCAGCTTGATGGGACCCCATATATCAACATGTGAAAGGGCAGAATGAATGGAGAAAAGAGCACTTTTCAAAAGATTGTCAGAATAGTCAGCAAAGAAACATTATTAACTGTGCCCAACGTTCAGGTCCATGCTGGCAAAGGCACTTTACATTATTAAACACAGTGCAAGCTTCCCCATCTGCATCTAAATACACAAAATTAATGTACCCTTCGACCAGCAGTCAGAAACTGCTAGAAAATGGAAAGGTCCATATTCTCCTGTTAGTGATGGGTTAATGGTCCCCATCTCTCATACTTTCAGCACAAATCTCCTCTTTGTTTTTTTTTAAGAAGCCCCAGCTCTTCATGATGGGAAATCTCAGTTTTGATTTGATACTTAAACAAATATCCATCCTTCCTGACTGAAGAAATGAACTTGAAAGCATGACCATACCCACCATCTTCAATGCTCATAAGGCAAATCACATTGCCTCAGACTGTTAATCTGATTTAAAAGAAATATATCATATGATTGCAAAATAATTTTTTTTCTTGCACAACCAAGACTTTTGAGCTCCTGAGTTTGGCAGTGAAGTATGCAGGTCTAATTCAAAAACATCTCAATTCAGTGGAAGGAATCTTTCTGACACTGGAGGCTGCAGATTGCATCTACAGCACACCAGCTGGCACTGAATTAAGATTGATGCCTTGTATTACAGTTAGCTATGGTGCAGACAGAGACAGAAATATTTTAAACTTATGAAATGATGTGAAAAATTGAACACTCCCTTTAACTCTGTCAGTAAGAGCTAATAACACCTTTGAACAAGTAATAGTAGGAATAAATCTTACATAGTACTATGCATGTTAACCCAGACCTGTAAAATAGGACTCATTTCAGGAAGTATGTTGAAGAAGAGCTGCACAGTGCAAAGCTGCACATCACACTGCAACTCAGATCAATACTCCTTTGAGCACAGTACAAAATATTTTCAGATTCAGCACTTGAAAAACAGCCTACATCACCTTAATTATTGCAGTCCTGCTGGCTGAAAAGCTTTCCTTTCTGAATCATTTGCCTATTAGTTAATTTAGAGCGTTAACTCACTGCAACAAAATGGAGTTATCCTACAGATGCAATAGGACATAGGTAATAATGTGCACCTGGTAGCAATCTCAAAACAGCAGTTCTGTAGATTGCTACCAGGTGCACATTATGAAGCTGGGGAAAGTCTCAAAACCAGCTTGACTTATTTTAGTTCACTTAAAAAAACACAAAAATTACATAATGTTAAGCTGATTTTAGGTAAGGACAAACATTCTACCTTCCTTCCAAATGAGAGGTGACTCAGGCTGCAACTATAGTAATTAAAATCACAGAATCAGGTACTAACACTAGGAGATGGGATTGGACTGACAGTTTTTCACACCATAAAATACATCATACATGATCAGTCTTGTCCTGCATGAAGCACACATCCAGCTGAGTAACATCATGGAAATTCAAAGTGTTGATGCGTGGATCCCAAATTCTGAATTACGAATGTGTGCAGAATAGAGCGATGGAGCCTGGCTCGTCTAAGAAGAATAAATCCAGTAAACAACACTGTTGCACTGGGACTGTATGCAGAATATGCTGAGAATTAACATGCAACACATGAAGATAAAGAACAACTCAACTGAATGCATACAGGATCAGGATCCTAAGTGTGGCTGAAATACAAGCTATTAAATTTATATACATCCTGGCGTGGCTATCAAAATTGAATCTGTTCAGCAGCTGCCCCCAGCCAGGATTTCAGTGCTCAATATATTTCTATCACTACGCAGTTTGAGCAATAGTTTTAATCAGTTCCTACAATCAACGTTTGAACATGGTGAGTCATTATTTTTTTGTTGGCAAAAGGACTCCTCTAAGCCTTGCTGATCAATCTGCCCGCTTGAAGTTACTGCACAATTCACACACACTCAGCCGTGCTAATAGTGGGAGCTGCAAAGCAGCTTGCAGGCACTGGGCTGGCACTGCCCCGCACACAAAACTCCTCACCATGAGCAAATTCAGGTTAATTGTGGCAGGGTGAGTTGCTCAGTGCCCTGTGCCAGCAGATGCCTTGTTCCATTAGAGGACTTCACACCCCTGGTCTTTCCTGAGATATTTCTGCTGGGAACATCTCCCAATGCAGAGCAGTGGCAGATTGGCTGTTCACTCCTGCTAGAGTGACAATTACAAATGTGCCTTCTCAGGGTCACCTCTCTCACTAGGAAAGTTTGGTTAATTGGAGACAAGACTGTTTGCACTTCTCCATTATCCTGGCAAATGCATACGAGGTATGTGAAAATGACTGAATCTGGTTTTCCCCAGCAAAGCAGCTCCCCTTAACTCCAGCTCTGAGCATAGTGCTCATTCTGCCAGAGCACTGGTCAGTGCTTATGAAAGGCAGGAGGCTGTCCCCAGGAAATGAAGACACCTAATGAGGGAAACACCTAATGAGGAGACACCTAATTGGACACCTGGGTATCTTCATTAATGAGTCCTATAAACTGCAGATCTCTGGGCTCAATTGGGTTCATTTTCTTACTCTACCAACTTCTGTAATGGTGATCACTGCAGTAGCTGGGCATTTAATTACACACAAATGAGGACAAAACAGAATCAGGGGAGAATGAAAATATAATGATGTAAAGTTGACTGGTCAGTCACTGTATTTCACCAGTTTTCAAGCACAAGATGTGCCAAGGCTGGGGCCCTGGAGCCAGCAAAACTGCTACTACACATTTTCTCTATCTTTTAGAGCCCATGAATAGCACTTGAGTGGGATGCCCAAGCTCCTGAGGACACCATTTTAGCAAAGAGGGAGGCTGTCTGCACTAGCTTTCTATGGCTGCAACGGAGGGAGTTGCAGTCAAGGAAGATGAAGAAAGGAAAAGCAGCAGTGTTGAGGAGCAATTTATGCTGGGATCCAAGGGAGGACAAAGCCCTGGCCTTTGGAGAGAAGCATGAATGAACGTGAGGGTCAGAGGGTCATGCTCTTAATCCATGTTGATGCACCTTCCTGATTGATCATTCTAAGACATCAAAACTTCCCTCTACAGGTGAGCAAAGCAAAAAGACACCACCAACCACTTCTCTCTGCAATGCAAATAACTACAACACCTGGATGAAAAACACTATTGAAATAGTAACTGCACAATACCAGTTCCTTATCAAGCTTAGGAAATAGATTGTTCTACAAAGGAGCTAAGTGTCCTCCTATTCTCCTTCTCCTACAGTAGAACATAATAAGGACCAGGTTCTGAAGGATGTTTACCCATTTTCAATACAAGTTACTGCTGGATGAGGAGGATGGACAGACTGGCAGTACAACTCCCTAAGCCATTTTTTCCTAGGAACACCAGTGTGAAGACATTGGAGTATTCAAAGTAATCTATGTGGGTTTTCATGTTTGGAAGAGGTTTTTAAACCTGGTCTTCACCTCAAGCAGTATAACTTCCCTTGTGCTTTAACTCCTGGGGGAGAAGAGATTAAAACAAATTTTCTTCTCTGCTGCATGATAACACAGTTGTTATTTCAGGGGCAATTGACGTCACTCTAAATGTCTTCACGACTACATCTGAAAGAGATTTCCTTCCACAAGTGAATTTTTAGGATACACCTCGTAGTTTCTCAGTACACTGTTGTGTTAAATAACCCAAAAGAAAACTTCTTAGCGTGCCTATGATTAAAATAAGCTGTTTATCTCACTCTAAGTCACAAATATGCATTCTTCCAGTCCCCACAGTACACAATGAACATAGCTCTGAGTCCACAGATCGCCTGCCAGCAGCCATGACAGAATCAAAGTCACTTTTGGTAATTAAAGATAATTCACTTTAACTAGATATGGTTAAAGGGCTCCCTAGCCAAATGAGGAATAAGATAGGTACTGGATTTACGGTACATACAAGTAGGAAACAAAAAGTTCTCACTGTTATTTCAAACACAATATTCATTAGTAAATGCAATAAAGTTTTGCATGTAATCCACTTAGTGATGTCTTATTGTTCAGTAAATTATATATTTATTGTTTGTTTCACTCTAGTAGCCTGAAAACCATTTTGTTTGGTTAAATACTGCCACTTACTCTTAAAGCTTTTCTTTTTTTAAATAGCTGTAAGCAAACAAAAGAGATCCTTTCATCACTGAAATTAATAATAAAAGTGAGATGGCCCAGCAAGCTGAAGTACAAGGAGTATTTTGCTAAGGAAATTACAGACTTAGGAGCTTTCACCATGACTTCACATCTGAATATGGAAACAGATTCATTCTTACATTAAATTTCTCCTGTTAAAAACCTCAGTATATTCTAGAGAACCAAAAGCTGCAGTAAGTATATGTGCATACCCTGAGCACGTATTCTCTATACATAACCAGTGCTGTCCTTCGTATCTGCCCATTTCCATATGCTGGCTCAACTCTCCAATGCCATCATGACCCTCATTTCCCAGCAATCATTCAATCATTCTCATGAGGCACAAAAGAGACCCAAGGTGCCCTCTGGGTCTGCCCTTGCATGAAAGAAGCAGTGCAGAAGTTCAGCGACATGAGTGGTCCCACAGCTCAGTACCAGCACTTGCGTTTGCCTTCAGAGAGCCACATCTCCAGTTTAAGAGAAGCCAAATAGCTAATGCTCAACAGAGATGAGTTCTACAGTAAACAGATCCGTTACGAACAGCCAAGACAAACCCTTTCCAAGGAGAGCCATTCATTCGTTATCCATACTGTTATGTCTCTGAGGACAAGTCCTGTCTCAGCACTGGTGCTGGCCACTCAATTCCACCTTTTGCTACAAAATTCCCAATCCCACATAAGTTAGTGGGGGGTCTGCATTTGGCTAATTCCCACCTACTCCTGGCAAACCAGACACTCCAGAGTAATGGTGGGGTGTTTAACATAGAGCTCCCCCAACACTCAGAATTCTCATGAATCAAACTGGAATATATGGTGCACCTCTATCTCTTCACACAGACACACTGAACTGTTTCTTCACTAACAACAGTTTTGCTTCCTTGAAGATACTGTTTGAAGGTATTATTCTTGGCTAGAATACAGACAAATGGAAAGCCCAGTGCAAAGGTTAATGTGGAAATCCTCCTGAGAGTCAGATATAAAACACTGTGCATTTCCTCTAGTAGAATGTTTAAAACATGCCATTCTCTTCTGCTTAGGGACACTTTAGCTGTGACCAGCGAACCATACTAGGCAGAACAAGCATTCTCTATGGAATAAAAAATGAAAGGTTTGCTCCTAGAGCAGTATCTCTTGAGAACTAACATCCTTATCATATGACAACCTCTAGCCTCCTGTAGTCTCAGCTGACGTAAGGCAAGAGTAGCAAATATTCAAGCCTACACAGAACTCAAATGTATTCCAAGCACCACCGTGTCCACAGTAGAGATCACAGTACCTAAAATAGCCACCACCTCGTCATCCTGGATGACTTCTAGGGATCCTGAGACCACGAAGCAAAGAGCATCAACACTCTCCCCAGCATGATAGATGAGGTCCCCCGGGGCGCAATGGATCGTCTGAAACTCCACGGCCAGGGCTCGCAGGCAGCCATCGCTGGCCAGCCGGAAGGCAGGATGCTCATTAAAAACTTTCCGGTTTAGGTGCACACAAATATCTGCTCTCATGTCCTTTGGGCAAATCGAGAGAACCTGAATGAAAGAAAGACAAAAAAACAATCAGCTGGGAACGTGGCAGGGCGGCAGCGTGCGCTTTATGAAATAAATGAATTGGTAGTTTCGTCTGGGTGGATCTTAAGCTTCTGGTGGGAGTTTTATCTTGAAATGAGGTAGTATTAATTTTCTACCCATCTACTGCTTCAAAAAACACAGGTAAAAGTGTGGTGCTATTCTGTTACCCTTTCACACTTGTTTTCCATAATTGCAGGTGGCACTGCTTTGTCTCTGTCCCTCCATACTTGGTGCCTAGACCATCCACCCACTGCTATGCTCAGTCCCTGCAGGAGCACAGGATGGACACTCAGAGCTGAAGAAGCCTGAAGATATGCAAAGGCAGACCACTCACAATCCAAACCAAGAGATTTAGTCGCATCTGGAAACCTAATCTTCAAAAGTGTTGATGCAGGTGACCACTTACCAACACGTATCCAAACACACCTAGGGTTTTGTTTCAGCACTGTACAGACATACAGTAAGTAACCTGCCCAGGAGGGCTTACAGACTAGAAAACCCAAAGAGTTTGAGCTTAGAGCAAAAAGAAAGTACTAGGAAACCTTATGAAATGTAAAGTAAAGGCGAATGAAAACTGCCCAGCAAAGGTGAAGATGTATTTACTGCAGATCAATTAAATAAGGCCTTTAAGTCCTTACCTTCAATAGCTTTCCCTATTGAAACAGTAAAATAAATACACCTGAAGAAAAAAATGAAAACCTGTGGGTGTTATTAGGCATGTAAAATGTTTAGAATTTGCACATCCTCCTAAACACACCAGCATCCTCACAATTCTGAAATGCATGTCTCTCTGTGTGGAAGCTAATTGCACTGAGAAACATACAAAACCTTGTAATGTTTTGCTAGGTTAAATAATGGAAAAATGAAGAAGATGAAGAGCACTCAGAGTCATGTAAAGAAGAATGCAGATCAACAGCACTTCCTAATTCCTCATTCTACAGAATTTATCTGGCAGCTTGCTCCGCAGACAGTTGGTGAGAGAGGGGCATTGGGTCAGTGTGCTGACTAACATTGAAAATTAGCAAACAGAGGGAGACTCTGGAAACCCTGAATAGACTTAAAGGCATATTAATTCAGAAGTAAAGTCATGACTTTCATTTTTGTTTAACGCTGAAGAGGTATAAAACAAGTTATTGTAAAGTATTACTAGAAGATCCAAAAGCATAGAATGGGAAAGCAATGATGATGATTTTCTAGTTTAATCTAGACCCCTTCTTGTCTCGATAGATCAAAGTGTTTTGCTGTCAAATACATAATGAATGCAAAAAGGTGAAAGAGGAGGAGTTCATCCTCTTATTCTCTGTACTATGACAGCAAGTTTGCACATGGATGTATGCTTTCCCAGTCTACAAGGGGTTATGCAACCATATGTACTAACTTCTTCCCATTATGGGTCAGCTCATTCACACTTTTCATATCGGTCCCAAAATACCTGGTAAAATTATAGTCTAGAAGGCCTTGATTTAATGCTTTTAAATTATATAGGTTAGTTGTACCAATGGACAACTCTCTTTTAAAACATGCTGTTACTAAATGTGTTTTGTTTGGATTTCATCTAACAGCCAGTGGTTCGCATCACCTTGCTCTGATAAAAAACTTGCAATCATCAGAAATCTCTTCCACATCTTGGTGTTTATAAAATACAGTCGTGTCAACTCTCAGTCCCGAATAAACAACAGAGATGATGCTTCTTGTGTCTAACACTGTGATGCACAGTAAATCCTTGGAAACTTCCTTGTCTCACTTACAACAACCCTCCCAGATATCACAGGTAATTAGTTTGTATTTGATTTGATAGAGACTAGGTTAATTTTGCTTAATGCTATTTTTCTGTAACAAAGTGTTGTACAGAACAGGTTCAAAAACCATAAGCCTGTTTTATCATAAAAAAATTAATAATAAACACATCTGACAAGACATATTCTCCATAAACCATCATTTGCATCAGTAATAATATCTTCTCTGAGTCACTGGTGAACATATTCTGTATCACTTTTTCCATAATTGTATGAGGAGCAAATGTCAGCTTTACAAATTTACACTCACCTGAGTTATCTCATTTACGAATAGAAATATGAAGACGCCTTCATTTTTCTAGTTTAAAAAATACATTTGGATACTTCTGAATCAAACAGAAAGCTTGTTTTTATTTTCAAATAGAAACATGCCACCTTTCTTCTTCACAAGAATAACTGCATGAAAAAATTCTGCTTCCTTTGGCATCATGATTGATGATTTTTAACATTTTTATCTCCTGTTGGGTCTAAATCATTGTTAGGAACTTTTCATGTCTCTAATGCTTCCACTAATGTAACTGCTTTTGACTTAACAAGGCCATGAGCTGTGAATTGTCCAACACTGTTCTTAACAAAAATGTGCGTATACACATGATTTTGATTTCCAAATTCTATCTTCTAAGCTTCCAAACTGCAGGAACAATAGTTGAACGATGCCTTAAATGCATCTGAAATTGATTAAACTGTTGCAGAAGATGTTCCTGTAAGACTCATGTATATTCTAAGACCCTTCGTCTTTTGAAGGGTAGATGAACTGAGCTGGTCAAAATGAAAGTAACTTGGATGCAAAGAAGCATATTGTTTCCTCACAAATACAGAGTTAAATACAGGTTATTAAATGTGAGAGCTCAAAGCATTACTCTTTTTGTAGTCAAAACAAACATATCTATCATCACACTTTGTCAAATAAAGAGCCAGAAAAAATACCACTGCACACAAAAAGCCAGTCTTAGCATAATGCAGGAATTTGCTGATGTCGTGATAACATGATTCTCCTAATGACATATTACTCCTAATGACATATTACTGAATGGAGATACATGGAGATATCATTTATCAACAAGTACAACAGTAAATGAGTAACGATCCAAGAGTTAGCCAGGGATGAATATTCTTAAACGACACTTCAGTTTTATTGCCTGCTACTCTGCTAGTACTGAGAGCTAGCATCTGAGAGAATGAAACAGATGACAAAATTAAAAGAAATGCTTAATGCTGAAATATTTGGTAAAGAGGCTTTGAGCAATCAAGACAACTGCAGATACATATTTGGGAGGAAGTAAAAGAGCAGAGACAGATGACCTCAATATCAAGGTATGTGTTTAGTGTATGCTGCAAGGACAAGTCTTCATGAGCTCCAAGCTGACTTTGCAGCAACACTGTTTGTGTTTACAAATACCAACATCAGGAATTCAGGAGGAGTCTCAAAGAAACCATCAGTTTCTCTGATATCACTTTTAGCCATACTGTAAAAAGGGTTTGTTGGTGACACAGAGTAGGAGTAATTTTCCTGTTTCCACAGTAAGAGCAGAAAATGATAAAATGAGCACCTCAACTTGAGAACTTCTGAAAAAGATGCTTTATTGGTAACACAAGAATCAGACATTTCTCTTCTAAAAGGCTCTTAAACGAGACATCAGCATTTTCAAGTTAGCATGCAGCTAAAAAGATAGAAAGGAAGAGCAACGCAGTCATAGGTGGGTCCTATGGTTGTACTTACAGTGCACAAATGCACTTACACGATTGTAAAAAGAAATTCAGTTTAAGGAAGAAGATAACCTGTAAAGCTCAATCTATCATTTCTCTTTTAGCGAAATGCCTTCAGCACTTTTGTTAGCAGAATGAAAGTTCAGCCAGGACATTTGTTTGAATCCTCGTTTCTGCAGTGTATCTAGAAACCACCAAGACAAGCTTTTGAAGAGGAAATTTCCTTAGAGGATTCAAGACCTTTCTCGGTGAAATCTGCAGTTTGTAAGTAAGTCAGGATATTAAGGCTGCTGACTGTAATGCTTTACCAGCTGATGGCTTTGGAGCACACAACTTACAGCAGCTGCCCCCAGGGACCTGATACTTGTGTGCTGCTGCAGAAGCTGCTCCATAACAAATCTGTAGCCACAGACTTCACAGTCATCCAAACATCATTAAAAAAACCAGAATCTGATAGTTTCAATGCGAAATTGGAAGAGAAAACTGAAACCACCCTAGAGGAAAATCTGATTGTGTAAGTGGCATTTCTAACTAGAAGAAGCCAGGATCCATGCTGCACGTGAACAGTACACATGTATCCACAAAGATCTGAACCACTATAAAGCTGAGAGAAGACAAAGTAAAGCGCAGAATAACATTTATCACCTATCTTCTTTTTGTAGGAAATAAAAACTCCTCAAAGTCAGTATAAATTGCTGAGCTCTGTCCTAAGCACTCACTGCTCCTTGGCACTCAGCTGACAAAGCAAAGTGTACTCAGTGCGGAGACTCAGCACTGCCACAGTAACTAGAACATCCCATGGCATATTCAAAATGCTGGTGGTAAGTGAAACGCTCCTGGTTACTGCTAGAGATTGGGAAAAGCTCTGGAAGACTCACAGGGAATTGGCATAAAATACTTTGCTATCTTTTCCACTTAAAATCTGGAAAGGGGGAAATAAAATTCCTAAGGAGGTTCAATTTGATTTTTTTCCTCTCCCATCCATCTCCTTGACATACTCAGGCAGTTTAAGATAAGCCCCTTGCACAGTTCAAAGGGCTCTACAGGGAACAGAGATCATAAAGAACTCAAAGAAAAGCAAATGAATTGAAACAAAAACTGTACAGATTAAGAGTGTGTCCAAATAATAGCTTTTAGGAAGGGTTTAAGTACTTAAAAAAATCTTTGCCAGCTAGAAAACACTATGGGATGGCTTAGCAAATATTACAGAATCTGTTAAGACTTGTTAACAAAGAGGACAGAAGCCAGTGAATCACAAATGGTATCTCTTTGTAATTCTCTTTCAGCACACGAAATTCTCACTTTCTCAGGGTTGTACTAGTGGATATATTGATTAACGTTCAAATGAAGAGCTTAGACAGTCTTAGCAGAGGAATAACAAGGACTGTTTTTTAAATGAATAACTGCAGCAAGTACTGGAGATATTCAGTAATGTCAACTTCAATAATAAATAAACTC